GGCTGCGTGCAGAGCTGGGCTCTGTGAATTGTGCTGCTGTAGACACTGGAGGGCATGGGATACGGGGCTAGGTGACGTCCTGTCTTCTCAGGAGTGACCACGTGGGGCAGCTGGGCCATGAGGTCGTCCCACTCCCTGTCTCTCCTGGGCCCCACAAGGCTTCCCAGGAGGGTGCTACTCTGAAGGCCCATTGTGTGTGAGTGGGCTTCCCCCACAACCCCCCAGCAGTCATTGCTCTCCGTATTCCTGAGGATCCCCCGCCCTTCCTAGGAACGTTTCGGCTGTCATGATTCTGGGCATAGCATAGATAACTGTGAAGTTAAAAGAATAATAATGACTGACTGGAATGGATTGAGCTCTGTTAATGTTATAATACTGAATTGCATGGTCCCCAAATTAACTTGCAAACAAAAGTAACTTCATGTGTAATAGCCCTAAAGTTAAAATGGTAAAAATCAACTAACTTACAACCTATGCCCTCAAACAGTAATGTAAAATCATTAAAAGTACAATTAGTTACGTTTTCAGAAGGAGGTGAATTGAGGAATCTCAAAAACACAGAGCATTTCTGGGTCACTTTGCACAATAACACACACTCAGATCCACACACTCAGGTGAAAGACACTCTCAGCTGGGCACATGATGGTTACACCTGAGTGATCATTAGTGCACCACAGAAAACATGAAAAAGAACGTGAAGTTTGTCCCATTCCAGACTTCTACAGTAAGAGTGTCCCAGCTCTGGAGGCCACGTCACACCTCCTCAGCCCTGGGAGCAAGGCCAACCTCGAATTCAAAGCTGTTGTGTTTTTGCAGTTGTTCATGGACCAAGCTGCCTGAGAAGGCAATTCCATCCCACAGCCCAATTCCCAGAAGAGTTTCTCCACCCCATCCCCATCCTCTTGTGCCTGTCTCCTGCTGTAAATAAAAGTTCTTCTGAGCAGCTAAGGAAGGTCACAGTCCCTGCCATGTCTGTTTATTGTGATTTCTGTGTTTGCATGATGCCCAAGGGGAATCACCCATGAACTGGAGGAGTAATCATCTGAACTGAGATAGAGGCCACTCAGGAAAGTTCTAAAGAAACAAGCATCATTGTTGACGAAGTCATTGGGAGACGGAAGAGACCAAGATGTTGGATCCATGAAATCTTGATCAACACAGAAATGAATGGGAAGTGTCCAGGGAGGCTGACGGTCAATTCAGTGGAAGGACAAGATACAAGAAACAAACCCATGTGCAGGTCAGGTTTGCTGAGCCCACTGGGTTACCCCTGGCCCAAGAAAAGTTGAAAAATCTATCACAGAGGGGGTTCCAGTTTCCCCAGGTGAGGAAGAGGAAGCATATAGAAATCTCTCCATTAGTACACATGGAAGGACACCTTTCTAAATCAAATGATTTGCTAGAAATTGGAAACAACACACAATTAAACATATGCATTTGCATTTGGAAAAATCATGGGGATCAGGAAGGACATACCTGGGTCACCCCAAGACCAGGAGGTGGGTGCTGCAAGCTCAGTGTTTGCAGGGAGGTCCTGGTCAACACCACAGAGAATAAGGAGAGAAGCCCACATGTCTTATTAGTGGGCTGTGCTCACTCAGTTAGGCAGGAGATCAATTCCTGAACCTCATCAGGAGGTCAGCAACTACACCTGCCCTCTCAGTGACCCCACCTCACTAAAGACAGTGT